CTGCCACAATGCCCAGCTAATTTTTGGTTGTAGTTGTCATTGTTGTTTGGCTGGCCTGGGCTGGATTCGAACCCTCCAGCTCTGGTGTATGTGGCTGGCGCCTTAGCCACTTGAGCTACACGTGCCACACCAGAAAGGGCTTCTTTTTAAGCAATCCCCACTCCAACCCCCATTAGCTTCCATCACATTACCCTGCTTATTTTTTTATACTCATTAAAGAAATGTATTTACTTTCTTATTTATTGACTATCTCTTCTTTCTAAAACACAAACTCCATAATAGGGCTCTTTCCTCCTTCAATTTTATTCCCATCACCTAAACAATGTCTAGCACATAGAAGTTACCTGAATAACTTAAATGAATGCATTTCGAATGAAAGAAAATGTCTATTTTTAATTTTGATAGGAACTGGCAAAATGCCCTTAGAAAAATTACATCAATATACACCTCTGCCACCCATGTGGGAGAGGCCTCTATATCTTACACACCACCTCAATTCTAATTTTATGTTTTAAAACTTTGTCAATGTGAATAATAAAAAAGTCTCTTTATTTCAACTTGTTTTGCCTGATCATTAGTGATGTTCATGTGTTTAGTAGACGTTTCTGTTTCTTCTTTATTATTTTTTCATGCCCTTTACCCATTGTCTTATTTGACTGTCTGCCTTTATCTTATTAATTTGTATGAACTCTCTGTAAATATTGGAAATTTTTTTTAATTGAGACAAAATCTCACTTTGTCACCCTTGGTCCAGAGCCATGGCATCAAGGTTCACAGCAACCTCAAACTCTTTGGGCTCAAGAGATTGTCTTGCCTTAGCCTCCCTAGTAGCTGGGACTACAGGTGCCCACCACAATGCCCAGCTATGTTTTTTTGGTTTAGTAGGCCCAGGCCAGCTAAACCCACCAGCCCCAGAGCATGTGGCCAGCACCCTAACCACTGAGCTACAGGCACCCACCCTGGAAATTATTCATGTCTATTATATGTGTTGCAAGAGGTTTCTACCAAATTGTCTTTTTTGTTCTGTTTTGTTTTGTTTGTCTTTTATTTGTTTTGAGACAAAGTCTCACTTTGTTGTCCTCAGTAGAATGCAGTGGCATCATTGCTCATAGCAACCTCCAACTCTTGGGCTCAAGCAATTCTCTTGCCTTAGCCTCCAGAGGGGACTACAGGTGCTGGCCACAGTGCCTGGCTATTCTTAGAGATGAGGTCTTACTCCAACTCAGGCTGGTCTCGAACCTGTGAGCTCAGGCAATCCATCTGCCTCAGTCTCCCAGAATGCTAGGATTACAGGTGTGAGCCACAGTATCTAGCCTTGTTTTTGTTTTTTTGAGACAACTCTTACTCTGTTGCCAGGCTAGAGTGCCTTGGCATCAGCCTAGCTCACAGCAATCTCAAGGCGGTGCCTGTGGCTCAGTGAGGAGGGCGCCAGCCCCAGATACTGAGGGTGGCGGGTTCAAACCTGGCCCCGGCCAAATTGCAACAGGAAAAATAGCCAGGCATTGTGGCGGGTGCCTGTAGTCCCAGCTACTTGAGAGGCTGAGGCAAGAGAATCGCCTAAGCCCAGGAGCTGGAGGTTACTGTGAGCTGTGATGCTACAGCACTCTACCAAGGGCAGTAAGGTGAGACTCTGTCTGTAAAAAAAAAGCCGGTCACAGCAATCTCAAACTCCTGAGTTCAAGCAATCCTTCTTCCTTGGCCTCCCAAGTAGCTCCCACCACAACACTCAGCTAGTTTTTCTATTTTTAGTAGAAACAGGGGTCTCATTCTTGCTCAGGCTGGTCTCAAACTCCTGAGCTCAAGTGATCCTCCCACCTCAGCCTCCCAGAATGCGAGGATTACAGGTGTGAGTTACCACAGCCAGCCTGTGCCTCCATTTCTTTACCTGTAAAATGGGATAACTATACATGTAGAAGCTTAACTTGGAGAATAGTAAGGATTAAATGAGTTGATGTTTGTAAAGTGCTTTGACCAATGTTTGGTACATAGTAAATACTGTAAAGTGTTAGCTATTATTGTAGTCCTGGTGTTTGATATCGGGAGGCCTTCCTCATTCCTCAGAATTATAAAAACAAAATTCATATTTTCTCCTAATACTTTAATAGTTTTATTCTGTGTATTTAGATCTTTCATCAGTGTGGAATTTGTTTAAGGTGTAAGATTGAGATCTAGGGCAGTGCCTGTGGCTCAAAGGAGTAAGGGGCTGGCCCCATATGCTGGAGGGGGTGGGTTCAAACTCAGCCCTAGCCAAAAACTGCAAATAAATAAATAAATAAATAAAAATAATTTAAAAAAAAAGATTGAGATCTAACTCCCCCCTCCCTGGATAGCCAATTGTACCGACCTTATTTAGCAATTATGCCAATCTTTCACCACTGACTTGAAATGCTATCAGTTAGTCTTATGTCTGGACTCTCAATTCTGTCTCATTGCCCTAGTTAGTAGTATTGGAACTTAACACAATTTTAATCATTGAAACAAGTTATTTGATGAGACAAATGCCTGCTTTACTGTGTTTTGTATTTTATTAAATTTTCCTGGCTATACTTGAAAGTTGTTTTTGTGTGTGTGCGTGTTTGCTTTGTTTGGGGTTTTTTGTTTGTTTTGAGACAGAGTCTCACTCTGTTACCCCAGGCTAGAGTGCCATGGTGTCAGTCTAGCTCATGGCAACCTCAAACTTCTGGCTCAAGAGATCCTCTTGCCTCAGCCTCCCAAGCAGCTGGGACTACATGGGCCCAGCACAACACCCAGCTACCCTATTCTCTATTTTTAGAAATGGGGTCTGGTTCTTGCTCAGGCTAGTGTTGAACTCCTGAACTCATGCAATCCACCCACCTCAGCCTCCCAGAATGCTAGGATTACAGGCATGAGCCCCTGTGCCTGGCCTTTTGAAAGTAGATTCTTCTCATTATGTTTAGAATCAAGTAACTACCCACCCAAATCTCATTGTTATTTTGATATGGCATTGAATTTATAGACAAACTTGGAAAGAAATGACCTTGTAATGATGATTTGCCTTTGAAGATATGGTGTATTTCTTTCATTCTTTTTGGTCTGCTTTCTTTTTTTTTTATTTTTTTTT